GTTTTGGGGGGTGATAAGGGTGGTTGGGGTAGTGTCAGGGATGGAGGGGGCCCCACGAGGCTGAGGGTGAGGTGTTGGGGGTCTAGGAGGGGAGAAGCAGGGATTAAGGGGGACAAAGAGGGCTCTGGGGAGTTTGGGGAATTTGGGGGGCTCACAGGACTTGGAGGGAGTCTGCAGGGAATTGAGGGCTCCTAGGGCTGGGAGGTTGGGGATGTCAGTGCCTTGGGGGCATACAGAAGTTTATGGGAGCCTGCAGGAGTGGGCACGGGGTTGTCAGGGGGGTATGGGGGTCAAAGGGACCCCTCAGGGCTTGGAGGATGTGTCAGAGATTGTTGGGGGTGACCCTGCAGGGTCTCTGCCCCAGCCTGGGGCCCTGGGAGCTCCTGTCCAGCTGTGGGTGCTGGAGCTGGTGCTCAAAGGGCAAAGAGGGCTGGTCCCCAGCCCCAGTGGGGAGGCTGACCCTGGCCTTCCCCCTGTCCCCACAGGTGGCTGGCATGTCGCCTGGCTGTCACCTGGTGCCGGCAGAAGCTTCATGCGGAGCTGAAGATTGGCTCCTTCGGCTTCTTCTGGGCCCAGAACATCAGCCTCAAGTTTCAGCGGGAGCAGCAGACTGTGGTGGGTACCCGAGCAAGGGGTGGTCACGGGCAGACGGGCAGAGAGGGTGGTTACGGTCACTTATAGGCTGGCAGCAAATCTGTGTAGCCATGCTCCTGTTGGGCATCCCCATGGCTGGTGCCAGGCCCTTCCTCCAAGGGCCACACTTGGGGTTTTAGCTGCTCCTTGAATGATCCCAGGCATTGGGAGTAGAGCAGGAATGTCAGGATGAGCATCATAAGGCTCAGGTTGTTTCTTCTCTGACCTGCCCGTGTGTCCTTGCAGGAGATTGATAACATCTGGATCTCCAGTAAACTGAGCCGGGAGCTGCCGTATGTACCCCCACGCCAACTCCCTGCCTGCTTGCCTGGGGGGTCTGGCTCACCCCTAGCCCCACTGACTGTGGTCCTGCTGCCTTTACACCTTCCTGACATCCTTATTTCCCCATGGTCTGCTCTGAGAGAGTGAACCACTTTTTGAGGTGGCAGTGTCTTGTGGGTGCCCTTGTGCTGGTCCTGCATATTCCTGGGATGGGGGACATCACTGGTGGTGGGGCTGGGTGTGCCAAGTGTGAGCTCTTGTAAGAGCTGCCTGTGCTGTTCTCCCACAGGCGCTACTTCGAGCTGTGTTTTGGCGAGGTGCGAATCCGCACGGATCTCCAGAAGGGCCCTGGGTTCCAGCCGTCCGTCCCGGAGGCTCCTAGAGAAGCTGACGGAAATGAAAGCAGAGCAGACCTGACCCTTAAACCCTCCCTGCTAAGGCTACTTAGCCAGGTGAGGCACTGGCTTGATGAGACGCTGTTGTGGGCTGCGCTGCTGTCGGATATCCCTCACCGTAGCACCTTCCTCCCAGCTCTTTTCCATCCACATGGATTCCATCAACATCATGGTTCTGCACGTGGCCACCTCAGAGTCTCTCTGGCACATCCAGGCCAGCCAGACGCGTCTCCTCCTGAATGGCAACGGGAAGAGGTAATACTGTGCTTGCATGCACTCTGCTTCAGGGGCAGGGAGGCTCCTCTGACCCCAGCCTGCTGTCTTCTCTCTCTGTTCCACTCAGCAGCATCTCATGTCACCTGTGATGTGACACATTAACCTTCTCCAGGCTGGCCTGGTTCCTTTTTGCATCATGGGAAGCTTGAGTTGTGTGTTCTCCAAATAATGTGTTGCTGGTGTGCATGGACTTAGGGCATGATCTGCTTTGAGGAGCACTTGAAGCAGGGACTTGGGATCCCCGTGTCCCACAGAAAAGAGAGGACAGGGACTTGGTTTGGCAGCAGCAAGGCCCACATCCTCCCTCTCTTTTCTGCTTTCCCCAGCCTGACCTGCGAGGTGAGCCTGACAAAGGTGAACAGCAAAGTCCTCCGGAGCAGCCAGCTGGTGAGTGCTGGAGAATTCCACACTTGGAGCCTGGGCACCGGCTCTGTGGGATACCCTGAGGACCCACTCCAGCATGTCCCTGAGGCTGGGCAATGCTGTGAGGCTCTGAGCCCAATGCTGGGCACCTGCAGCATCTGCTGGCAGGACATTGGGTGTCACTCCTTGCTGTATCCCCACGCAGGATGACACGTGCCTGGCAGAGCTGGCCCTGGCACTGTCCCTCTCGCTGGAGATCAGCAGCAAGCGGCGGCTGGTGGGCGTCCGGCTGTGCATCCGGACACTGCAGGCAGAGCTGCACGAGGGGCTTTTCTGCAGCCCCCTCCTGCACCACGTCACTGCCGGGGCCCAGCACAGCAGCACAGGGGAACAGCCCAGCACAGGTCAGGACAGGGACAGGGACAAGCTCCAGGCCCGGCAGGGGCTGGCAGCCCCCATGCTTGCACTGGAGCCAGAGGGATTTGGCTGTGCCGTCACTCCCTCCTGCTGCAGAGTGTGGGGCTTTGGGCAAGAGCCTTCCCATGACTGTGTTCTTCTCCAGGCCCTGAGGAGCCCCCAAAGTCCCTGTCTGTGCTGAGCAGGGACACTCTGCAGCTTATCCCCAGGAGGGTGGAGATGAAGCTGGAGAACACTAGCATGGTGCTGTCCATGAACAGCCAGAAGAGGTAAGGAGGCAGGTAGAGGCAAGAGGCTGTCCTAAACCAAATTAGTGCTTGGGACATGGACCTGGAAACAGCTGTGCCATTCCCTGCTCATCCAGACTGCAGAGAGTGAGTCCTAGAGCCCACCCCAGTGGGAAGGACTGAGCTTGGCCAGGGACTGGGCTCTTGGGGAGGGAGGAAGGACATGAGCTGGTTCTCTAGCAGGACAGCCTGATGGGATGCTCTGCTGATGGGATGCGAGCACTGGGCTGGGCTTCAGCTGGGCACTGTCTGGTGTCTGTCCATGCCGGCATGCTGGTCAGCTGATGATGAGAAATGGGGAGATGAAGGACATGATGGTGTGGTTCCCTTCTGACAGTGTTTCCCCGCTTCTTACAGGCACCTCACCTGGAGCCTGAAGCTGCTGCAGTTTCTATATCAGCGTGAAGACGAGCAGATCCCACTGCGCAACTTCACGCCCAGCTCAGACCTGGACCAAATGAGTGTAGACCTCCAGCTGGAGGGCAAGTAGCCAGAAGGAAGGGCAGGAGAGGGCTACCACCACTCCTCTCTGCCACCCCTGACTTCTGCTCCTCTCTCTCCACAGATGGCCTTCTCCTGTCCCAGAGCCGCCAACGCATCGTGTGCCTCAACTCCCTGAAGACCAGCCTACAGGTAAGCGATTGCTGGGCACAGTCCTTTTTCCTGGGGGTGACTGGTTTGGCTCCTGGCATGAGTTTTTTGCCACCTGGCCCTCTCCCTGCTCTAGGTCACAGCCATTGACCTCTCGGCTGCTGTTCTGCTCAACACCTGCATCATCCACTACCGTCACCAAGAGTTTTCACACTGGCTGGGCCTGTTGGCACAAGAGTACAGGTGCCGGGCAGTGCCTGTCCCCAGCCAAGGGCACAAAGGAAGGTAAACTTGGCCTCAGCACAGCTGCTGGTATCACAGCTTGTTTGCTCTTGCCACACTCTGGCAGGGTGCCTGGGCACTCAGCACCTTCTCTGCCCTGCGCACAGCCTGTGGGATGGGGTGGCTGGTACAGAGAGTGGGAGGTGATCAGGTAGCTCCTGAAGAGAGGGTGTCCCTCTGGGCCTGTTCCCTGCCATGCTCTATGGCCTACAGCTCCCAGTAAAAGACAATCCCTGCTTGTCCCATGCAGGAGCTATCCCCAAATCATAGCGCCCATCATCCTGAGTGCCTCACTGTCCAACGTCAGTGTGTCCGTGCAGCTGGGGGACACACCACCCTTCGCCTTGGGCTTCAACTCCATCTCTGCAGGTACGGG